GCATCGCTATAATACCCAGAGCATAACACCCTATTCTCCTTACTGTATCAACATGCATGAAATCAGCCTCAATCCCAACCTGTTATCAATCCTCGCACATAAACACACATCACAGAGGTGGTGGTGAGTTTGACGCCAAGCATTCAGCTCAAAGTGGCTGCTCCTCCCCTGCGCAGAGTCACCACATCATCCTTTTGCAGTTTCTACATGTGCCATCACTCCGTTGCTATGACAGCTATGATTTACCTAGAGCCCCCGTGAGAGTGCAGAGCCCTGCACATGTGCACTGATGAGCTGCCATGGCAACAGACCACATGGCTACTCCAAGAATTGTCACCAACTCCTTTCTTTCTACTCTGAGACATTCATAATATAAGCCTATACTTTGTCTAGAGCAGGGGTTTTCAAATCTTTTGACGTCACGGACCACCTTACTAATATTCATTTATAAAGACCTATTTATACTATGATAAATAAAGAAATATGTGTAAAATATAATCTGGAAGTTCACCTGAAAATGGAAACCTGATACAGTGAAACTGTACGGAATGTCCAAACCTGTGTGAGTTTCTTTCTTCTGTTGAACACACACACACACAAAAAACATTATTTTGATGAATGTTGGTAATTAAATAGTTGCTGGTAGCCACTGACTTCCAAAGTGTGTTTTTTTTCCCATACTATGGAAGTCAATGGCTACCGTCAGCTGTTTGGTTACCAACATTCTTCAGAACATCTTCTTTTGTGTTCAACAGAAGAAACAAACTCATACAGGGCTGGAACAACTTGAGAGTGAGTAAACGATGACAAAATTTCAATTTTCTGGGTGAACTAACCCATTAAGGCGACAATGTATCTTTTTTTGTCTTTTCTATTCTATTTTCTATCTTAATTATTTGTAGTAAAATGAAACAGTAATAATGCCAAATCAAATTCAGTATATTGTATCTTTATTATTAATTATACATATTTTAAATTATTCATAATTAATAAAATATTTGTTTATTTTTATTTATACTTTTTTTCTGGACTTCCCAGGACCACTGTTTAAAAATCCTGGTCTGGATGCGTTCAACATATCATCTCATTTTGAAATCTCTATGGTCTATATTATTCTCTATGAAGAGGAGAAAACAGACATTTGAAACATATAGGACTGATGCAATAGACACAATCAAGAAAACATTTGGTGCATTAATAAACAGACTAGACTAAGATCACTTAGCAGTAACAATACTTTAACACTCCACAATTCCTTCAGACGGTGTAAATTAATTGTTTTCAATCACAAATGAATGCAAAGCCATGTGTGTTCACAGCTTTGCAGGAGCAGAAGGGGGAGGGGAGGATGTGTCATATGATAACGTTAACACAGAACCTTCCTATCTGCGCTCAACTGAAGCAATGATGGCAAAGCACTATGCAAATACAGGAGTCTCATGAACGAGCTTGTGTTAAATCATGCAAATATTTTATATTCAAGATCCGGAGGAACCAAAAAGCATGTTTTAAAATGCAAAGCCATTCCTTCAATTCCAGACATAGAGATGGAAGCAATTTACACAAGTATGTGTAACTTGTGGTAATTAGTTTTAGATTGAACTTTAATTGTTTTAATTAAAAAAATGTTTTAATTAACTTTAATTTACTGTATTTTACACACACACGTCAGTATAACTAATGTAATACAAGTGCCATTAAGACACCGTTTTCTCTCAGCTAAAATCATATTAAATGTTGTGTTTTTGTTTGTTTAACAAATGTTTATTCAATTTTACAGATGATATCTGAAATATGTAAATCCCCAGCAGAAGACGCTCCGCCTTTTGAGGCCTATCTTTCCTGTTAACCATGCTGACTAATTAACTAGGGGCTTTCTTGATCCCATGAGTCAATAAAGAACTCACCCTCATGCCTCCATCAAATCAGACAGGTTCCCAACCCCCCTGTAGGGAAATGATAATTAATCAGAGCAATAATTAACTCTTTACAAATAGGAAGGCCAGAGCCAAAAACCAGTTGTCAGAACATTATTGTAAAAAAAAAATATATATATATATATATATATATATTGATCCATTAATATACTGTTATAACTACAATAAAAAATATAATTGATTAACATAAATATATATTTATACAATAAACATTAATTTATTGGCGTAACCTGAGAGAACTCTGACCCCTGGTGGTGATCTAGACCTCCAGCTTGGGAACATTTCTGAATCAAACCAAATAATCCTGTATCTTCAGACAGTTTCAGGTATAGTCTACATGCCTTACAGCATAAGGGGTCTCTGATGAGCAACTATATTCACAACTGTTCACTATGCTGTCAGTGCAACTGAAATGGTGCTGTGTCGGTGTCTGTGCAACCCTCTCTGAAAACCCTCAGCCCACGTTTCCACTAACTTGAGAGGTGAACAATGTCATAACTGAGTATGTTACTGCACAACCTGCCCACAAACAAGCATTGCTTTAATGGGCAAATGGCCTTCTGGCCTTGAAATTGCTATTATAGGCTGCCCTTGAACAACATAAGGCATATTTATATAACATGCATAGATTTATGTAACATGCATCCAGACATCAAGGTCTGCTGGATTTCTAATGAAAGCCAATATGAATTCTTGTTACCTGAGAAGATCCGGTTTTTGCCTCACTAGGAGACAACAGAGGATTGCAATATTGAGCCAAAGGTCTTAGGGTACGTTTACTCGAGAACATAAGCATTTGCGCCGGTTGAGTTTCGCGTACAGACCACAAAACGTCACAATGATCCCCATTCATACAGATCTGTGAAAGTGACTAAAAACGCTGTATTATTCATGCCAGGCCAGTAGGTGGCGGTCACTTTATATATATA